TGCTTTTTTATTTTTTAATTTTTTTACCATTCGCTGTATTTCTTCCAAAGTAAACAAATCATTTATGCATTCATTTGTAGGAGAGGTGACTTGTCTGAGGTCAAATTGCTGGTCTTCTGGTGTACAATTATCACTCGATTTTTGGCTGAGTTTCTTAAAATATTCAGCAAAGGTTTCTATAGATACATTTCCTAATCTTCCAGATGGTTTACCTGCATTTAGAATAGACCAATATTCATTACTATTAGATTTCTTAAGTGTACGGAGTTTCCTATGTAAAGAATCATAGAACTGCTTTGAACATTTCCTTATGATGGATTTATACTTTCTAGCTATACATTTTATTTCAACTTTACATTGAGCAGAGCGGTTAAATTTAAATATATTCATGGATTTAAAATATTTTCTACGGGCCTCAACACATTCAGCATTAAACCAGGGTTTTCTCTTTTGTAGTTTTTTTGACGTTCTACCAAATTTGTACAGATCCTGACCATATGCCTTACATAAACCCAAACTTTTAGCAGGATCTACCATAATGTCACATATACCTTTACTAATGTTATTTATTTCAACCAGATTTGTATTGGAAATATTAATCGCATCAATCATTGAATCATACATTTTTATAACTTCTAAAATTAAAGGATTCTTGGTATGTGGCTTTTAGCTCAGATTTCCATCGGTGTTTAAACATTAAATGGGCCATGTGTCTATTCTCTTTTCAGGATCATAATAAGCAGTATCTGTAAGAGTTTCTCACTTATGAGTACCCAAGTTATTAGCTCTTATAGTTAAACTAATAGGGCAGTGGACATCTGACAAACATTTGTCCAAAGGATCAACACAAAAATAGATAATCTGTGCTAACAAACAAGCTGACACTATGGCATAGTCAATAACCCTGTTACCATTATAGTTAAAACAGGTGTAACGCCCAATGCCTTTATCAGACCCAAATCTTCCATTTACAATCTTCAACTCTGAACTTTGACATAAGTCAATTAGGCTGTGACCGTTATTATTAGTCATTAAATCTTCACTGACCCTCTGTAGATCCATCAAAGAAAAATCATTTATGTCACTGTTTAAAAGCATTTCGCCATCAAAAGACAGCCCATTTCTAATATTTGTTCCTACGTCACCTACATTTAAAGAGTCACTAAGAGTACCAGTTCTTGAATTGAAATCACCCAACATCACTATTGGTAAACTGTCTTTACTGTTCATAAATGAAATATCTTGGGAAACATTTCCAAAATAGTCCTTGTTGAAAAAAATAGATCCTTCATGTGGCACATAAACTGTTCCCAAGATGAATTCAAACCCAAAAGCTGCTTTGGCCACTTTAGTCCACAGGATGGCGTCAGAAGTAGTGTCTTTTATCTCCTGAACATAATTTGCAAACTCATTTTTAACTAATAGACATACCCCATGTATACCACCATGTTTATAACTTGATTTCTTCTTTTCTAGCACAAAAGGAGTAAATCCATCACAGTCTGATTTACAGATATTATCTGTTTTGGTCTCTGTTAAACAAATAAAGTCATAGCCCTGGCTGCTTGTATTTCTTTCAACCAATCACAATCATTCTGGGCGGTGCCACAGCAACGGTGCGCTAGCAAAAATATTGCCGGGGGGAAACAGGTTTTGGTGTAACACGCCCACAAAAATATCGCCTACAGGACACGAACCATGGCAGAAAACTGGCTACATCCCCGCAAGATCAAACACCGCAAAAGTTAGTAAAGGACATGTTGAAAACGGTTGAAAACTGCTACACAACTGGAGGTGGTAGGGCGGGACTTCAGCGGGTGACTTGTTCCGCCCAATGAGAGGCTGATCTATGCAGCGAACTTCCGCCCACTCAGACTAATTCTGAATAAACAAAAATGTTAACTATTAGTTCACAAGGTGAAGGGGCACTGACGACAGATGTCAGAGGTGGACTAAGCAAGCTGTCAGTAGTCTGTTATCCTGCTGCTGACTCTGCAGATGGGGTGAAAAATATCCAAGACACATGTTGACCATGACTAAGTGGGGGAGCCATTTCCCTTGTGATTAATGAGCAGTGGAAAACACCCTCCTTAAGCCAAAGATCATTAGTGAATCACCCGTCCAAAATAATAATTAAAAAAAGCACACTGAGGACGTTTGGTTCACAGCTCCGGCAGCTGGTTCCTGGAAAACTCAGATATCACAAAGTGTGAGCAACACGAGTCTGATCTGACAGGGAATTAGTCTTTAAATATTAAGTATTGTATTGGCTCTTTCCACTTTGTTCACCAGCTAGACTCCAACTTTGTCTGCTAAAAACCTGCACTGAGCAATATTTTGGATTTTTAATTCAACATTTGTTGATAAATCAAAGCAGACATGACAGAGTCTAATAGGCTTGTGCCATTTGGCGATCGAAACATATATCTAAGACTGAAGGGATGATCAGTGATTGTTTTTTCCTACACTAATATTAAGGTAATTGTAACTAATTTACTATCAGAGCAAAGCGTAATAAAAATCTCTAGAATCTGCACCTTGTTGTGTATGTAGACCTGCATCTGGGGGAGTGATATGTCTGCCTGCTGAGCCCTGTTAATCAGCATGAGTGATGAGTGAATCACAAGTTTCCTGTCTCTTTTCCATAGATCTGATACTCTGCATCTCTGCTCTCCATGTGCCTGCTCACCAAACATTTTCTCTGTCCCTCATGAGAGTAGCTTACATTATGGATATGATTTAGATTGTGATATTGAAGATAATAATATTAAATGGAAGATGATGCTGTGATACTGTTGCACCACCCTGACTTTAAAAGGGAGACATTGTTTGAATAGAGGAAACATTGCTATTAGATTTTTTTCATGTTTACATATTTTTGTTGACACGGTATAATGTTTTATTAACATCATTTAACTGTATTGTTCACAGAATACTTTGATTAATGAAAATTTTAAGTTCAAATTCTAATGCCAATAATAATTTAAAAAATACCAAACAGAGAATTTATTAATTATTAAAAATGACTACATACACAACTAGTATTAAAATATTATAAAGGTAATAGAAATATTTTCCAGTACTTATGCGTTTATTCATTCATACTTAGTCACTGCCGTGTTGTGGCGTGCCTTCCCTACCCCCGCCTACTCTCATTGTCCCCTGAGATTGGATTGCTCATTGGCGATCTCGAATAACCATGACTGGACAATGAGGAAAATAGAAATGATTACCCAAAACTAGCTGCAGATGGTAGTGGCACATGCTGCAGCCAAGACTGCAATTTAAAGTTTGTTAAAACACTTACAACTAAGTATCTTAAGATTTTTATAACAATAGTTATTGTGCATTTTGTAGCAAAGGAAGTAGCTTGACATTGTTATACTTTTGCAAAACATCTTAACTTGCCCATAATTGCGGCAGATAAGAAAACACATGTAGTTTTGCGAGACAATGAAATGTGACGTATTTTGTCTTTAAAATTGCAAACACTGCAAAGATAATTAATTTACCGACTGGTTCTCTGAATGCTGGAAGGAGTTTGTGAATAAGAGGAGTGAAGCTGCTTTGATTTGTCGATCAACAGAAAATGAAAATTTTAATAACTAAGTAAGGAGAGATAAATGGGGAGAGACAGCGGGGATGATGGACTTGAATCTGGGCCGCTGCTAAGGACTCAGGCTAAATGGGTTGCATTTTTTTAAGCAACAATTTTTTAAGCAACACTGTCATTTTGTCAACATTCACTGATTCCAGCTTCTTTAATGAAAGGGTTTTTTGTATTTTCTGTTTGAAATAATTGTTAAGTGCTCATCTTTTTGTTTTGGACTGTTGGTTGTTCAAAACAAAACATTTGTAGAAACTACCTTGGAGTCTGGGGAAGTTGTAACATTTGGTTTTTTTTTACACAAAATTATTATTGAGAGAGAGAGAATGAAGCTCTGGCAGCATGTGAAAGCCAAAATGATACAGAGGCTGAACATTTATAAACCAAGACTGATGAAGGACGATGCCATAAAAGTTGACAAGTAGAGGATTAAAGGCAGAGCAAAAAAGAAACTGACTTCTGCCAACACTTCAGCTAGACATCAAATGAAAACACAGCATATGGCAAATCCTTACATTTATGCTGATTTTAGTACTTTGAGTTCAGAAGTACAAACAGTGAAACACAAAGCCATGTTATTTCTGCTGGTTCCCAGATTCACAGACTATAAAATCTTGATGTTGTACGAGTCATGTGTTCATGCTGTGAGAAGTGGGTCAGTGGTGGGAGGTCAGTTTGAGTCAAACTTATTTACTGTTGTGGTTCAGGTCTGAAATGTCAAGGCGAGTATGTGGGTTTGGGGGCTGTGTGAAGGAGGTGTGTTTGGTTTCAGTCCAGCTCGTTATCTCACCCTGCAGCCACAGAGGGGCTGTGCTTCAGTTTCATCAATTTAGAACATTTTGTTTGGTAAACAGGGAAAAGCAGTAATATGTAACAGGAGGCCTTTTACCTTCAGTAACATTTCATTAATTTTGTGCATTTTGAAAATTCAAAACATATTGATTTGAAAGACCTCTCTATTATTGTGCAGAGCTTTGTGATTTAATTCAATATCTGTTATTCGTCCCCAGATCCCTGAACTGTGCTGTTCGTCTCTCATATCTGTTTCCAGTCTCCATGAGCACAAGTTGATTTGAATCAGTGTTGAAGCGTCTGCAGCTCTGTTTTCACTTATTTCGTTGCCTGATCACCACCTCTCTTCCTCTTGTGTGTCATTACACCCTTTCAGAGGAGCTATTTAGGTGATTAATGAGCCACTTCACTACAATTCGTGGGCTATTAGTGATGACTCACGCTCACTGGTGTCACACTAACAACTCAGTCCAGTGAGCTGGTAGGTATTACCTCAAATGATCAGGATGTGCTGGCTCATATCAGCTTGGACTTTGGAGTTACGTTCAAATAGTGTGAGGTCTGCTGTGGCTAACACAATCTAAAATTTCAGTGCTGGGATATAATACTTTAGAGTTTTATTGAATTATATTCTGAGCTCAAGAGCTCCCCCTCGGTGTCCTGTGTACATTTAGTTGCCATGCATAGTGTGAGAGCAAACAACAACAGTGTGGCTCCCTATCATCCCCATTTCCTCTCCTGAACCCACTGCCAAAAGGCAAAAAGCCGACCTCCCAGGAGGAGCCGGCTGCTGGATCCCTGCAGACAGAGAAGACGAAGTCCAGATCAGCAGTCTGACGGGAGACAACATCTCATAACCCCCTGGTATTCCAGCTGCATCATGGACCTGCCATGGCTCTACTTGCTTTTAAAAGCACAATGCTCATTGATGTACCGTGTATCTGCAGTTTGAGTTTTAACAAAACTAGTGTTGAAAGAATCAAATTTATCAAATAGTTGATCAGAAGAACTTCTAATATCTTTGGGTTCTGTACTGTTTGTTGGACAAAACAAGCCTTCTGAAAACATTATCTTCAGCTCTGGAAAACTGTGATAATTGTGATCAGTTACCACAATTCCTTACAATTTTCTCATGCTAAGTCAAATTTAAATCTAAAATGAAAAGCGTTGTTAGAAGCTCTAAACAAAATAAGTGACCAATTTAGTGTAAGTCCAGTATGTCCAATTTTGCAGCAGCATACTGTAAGGTGGAAACTCTAGTTGAACATTAAACAGACACCCACAATTTAAACTTTATAGCTTTAAGCAAACTTTTTCAGATCTGCTAAAACTTTTTTTGTTAAAGTACCATTAAGGTTTTGTGATTTTCAATCTTCCTTAAATTCCACCAACCACCCATGAACACCATGATAACCACATACAAATGCTTTAGCAACCACATGGTAACACCTTAGCAAATAATTAGCAATAAGCTATTGAGTTTTGGTAGCAAACACAAGAAGAATAAGATAAATATGGCTTTAGAAAATGTTCAAATTTTGTTGCAGGTGATTTAAGACCTTTAAATTTTTTTTTTTTTTTTTTGATATATTTAAAAAAATAAATAAATTAATAATGAACAAAAGTGTGCCATGGTCATCTTCACAACGTGATCTCATCCCTGCTTATCATATTTTGCCACTTTGGCAGGAGCCCCATTGTAAGTAAGGGTGCATCAAAAGTCTCGAATTGCATCCATGTTTCTCTCACTTGCATCTTTTCCTTTCCTCCCTGGTGGGAGGAACTAAGACGCAAGGAAAAGCATCACGTGAAGCTAAATCCATTTCTGATAACAGCAACAGCTGATCACAGCTGGATCAACTGTCAGTCAACTTTATTAACAGCTGTAGAGACTTTTAATGGAGTCTATATCTGCACACGTGCACTGTGATCATACTAATAAAAGAACAACATTCTCACTGCCAGAGCAGAATGCCTTTATATTATTTATTTGCATCTACTGATATCCTAATTGTGAATTCATTACTTAACAACCCATTATATAATTATGGTGTCTTTTATAGACTGTAAATTATTAACTAGGCTAAAAGTTTCAGGGAAAATTGAAATTCGGTAATTCATCAACCTGATGCTCAGGTATGATTAGCCTCACATGTGCTTGAATGGACATGACGGTCAGTGATGTAAAAAGTGTTTCTTGCTGACAGACAGCCTCTCTCTGTCTACATAATTTATGTTAATGTAGTGAAAAACAGGTTGTGAAAAGAAAAGTCTAATAAATTCAGACCTACACTTTCCACAGCTAATTTTTTAAAATATGTTTTTTTAACACTTCAGTTTAATCTCTTACCTGTTTTCACTACAGTATAAAATTCCGGTATGATGTGATGTATCAGATCAGTCCGATTGGCTGCAGTGTCCGTTTGTGTATCCTCACTTATTGCTCCTCAGACATCTCTACTCAATCCTTGTTCCTAAGAGCAGAAATAAGAGCTTTGAGACAGTCTTCAAAATGGCACACCAGAATGACTTCCAGTGCAAGTGAGGATCAAAGAGCAAGGAAATGACAATTAAGAGACTTGAGATGCACCTTGTAATGACACTGGAGGCAGCGTTTTGCATTTTGTCTTGATGCAGAAGGGGTTGGAGGTAAAAGGGGGTAGGCAACAAAACTACTTGGTTATGGTGAGGAAAAGGTGAGGATTGTAGATGTCGCTAAAAAACACCCTGCTTTAAGTGGCATGAACATGGCAGTAAGAAAGGGGTCAGCGGTTAGGTTAAGGCAACAGAACTACGTGTTTAGTGTTCGGAACAAACTGCAAATGTTCCTATAAAAATACCTGGCTGTGATTAGCACAAACATGGCGGTAATGTCCAAGTGGCATATTTTGACGTCCTGGGAGTGAGACCAGGCTAAAATTCACATGACAGCTTCAAAAATCTGCAGCTGCCACTGCTTAAGGACTCATTTAAATGTTCTTAAAATGTTGATTAACTAATAATACAACTACATTTCTACTATTTAACATTAAAAGTAGTTACAACAAACACATAAAGACTAACATATACAAGCACCTGTTGAATACGGCACAGACTACTTAAAGCAAGGGCGTAAAAAAACAATGTATTTTGCAATCAGAGATTTAAAACGTTATGTAATGTATATTGTCTTTATCAGACAATTACTTCCTGTACATCTCTGATATGTATCCTTTAGTGAAGTAGACAACCTCTATTTGCACGCAAGCCCACTGTATACAAACTTGTTATCCACCCTGCTCCACAATAACAAAGTTAAACAAATGTATATCTGCGTAAGTTTATTGAGTTGCACCACATCTGCAACACTTTTCCTCTTAATACAAGAAACAAACAGATGTTAACACTAAGGAAAAAGACATGCTCTGTTACAAATGTGGGTCATATCAGGTTCAACAGCAGTTATCTGTATTATCAGCATAAAATAATTCTGGCAATCAGCACTACATATGTACTTTACATGAAGATAGTCCACAAGGGCTAATAAGTGTCTACATGTCCAAACAGCAGGTGTATCAGTAAAGAAGACTGCAAAAATAATGTGAGAGACCAGACTGGAAGATTAAGTCAACTTGTGCCAAACCAAGTATCAAATTTAAAGAAAAACAAACTATGGGCTGAGCATTTTATCGTCATTCAGTTTACACTGACTCAAAACTTCGTTAATGTCTTTCCCAAGATTTTATAGATTTTATTTGTTTCTGTTTATCTTGCTCATAGAGGAGACACCTGGAATTGAGTCTGTGCTTTCTGTGAGCTATAAATAAAAACTCCCGCCCACAGTCTGATTAAAGAGTGGTCGCATGCAGATATAAAATCTCCTGGGGAGATTTTTGTAGCACATTTCTCCTCTAGTTATACTTTAGGTCTGACAGCCGTCAGTGCTGTTCACTCCTCATACCAGTGGACAAAAACAACTGTTAAAGCAGTACAGGATAGTAATTTGGAGCGATGCAGGAGTCGCAGTAAATGCCAGATGTTGCACTTTCCTACCCAACATGTATTGATTAGTGTCTCCGTGATCATGGGCCGTTTTCAGACGTCTCCTATTACATATTTATTCTGCACACTCAACATGAATCTGAACAAGGGAGCATCGCGTTAACATGTCACTGACACAATAGATTCACCCTCACAGGTTTATGCGACCTTTTGTTTGACCACGTCTGAAGGCAAAGTGTTTGTAGCTGTTCTGCAAAGTCACAGTGGAACGCAGAGTAAAAGACAGCCACTAAAGGGGAGGGCAACATGGTTAATATCCTGGGAGGCATTCATTGTGCAGCTGCACTCATTTGCACATACAAAACACTATGGAAGTATTTGTGGAAAGAATGACAATGACAGCGAGAGACAAGCTCAAACAATGCAATAGCTGCATGAAGTGGGTGACTGTGAGATTGTCAGTTTCTGAAAGTTACAAAAATTGCCAGACCCAACCCAGCCAATTCAGACACATCAGAAAGGTTAAGAGAACGGGGGTTTGAGACGCTGTTCAAAAAAATGATACACTTTTTTGGGTTTTGTGATGTATGTTTATAATCTATCATCCTATCATGTTTATACAGTAGTTTTCCTTGTTGGTCTATCCCAACTGTTTTTACGTTAAGTGCCATTTTCAAATGTTCTTGTTTATCAGTGTGCCATAGCAATATAATGCCAAACCCTCACTCCTCAAAATGCTCCATTACACTTTGGCTATGTCCTCCCAGAGAAACATTTTACTGCTCACAATAATCTTTTCTTAGTCTCATCAGAAATAAATACACTTCTTATTTGGAGAATACTAAATTCTGATCTGGTCTTTTTTGTACTTACCAGCTTTTAAGAGGTTGTGACCACAGTACACACGCAGTGAATAACCTAACTGTTCTGTATAAAAGGAGTAACTGTTTATAAAGTATTAGTTTACATTACTTAAGCATCAATAATTAAGATTATATGGATTCTAGGGATGTCAGTTTCAGTTAATTTTGAGCCAATCACAAATATTCTTGGCAGTAAACCAATTAACTAATTGATACCACTGATTTACCACCAGCACTCATTTAAAGTCCGGACTCTGTGACTCCACATCTAAAGTGGAGATTTATTAGTCTTTATATTTAGTATATTATTACATTTCCTCCACATTCAGACTTTCAATGTTTCACAATTCCTATACTGTACCTGTTGTGACTTCCTGGACACACATGGTCTGACTGATCAGATCAGCATGTTCACACTGCCGAAATAAATTCTGCTCTGCTTTTATTTACACGGCAGATAAACATGTTCACTCTGCACCATGTGTGGAGCGTTGGCTCTGAGTGCTGGCTCACATGACCTGTGTTGATATGGACTCCTTCAAACACTGTGTGAACACCTGTGTGATACTAAACACACACACATATATACAAAAACACATAATAACATGTCTAGTTTAGACAAATAGAGACAAATGAACAAACCACACACACATTTGTACCACAGTGCTTGTAAATATGTTCAATCAACTTGTCTGATGTTTCATTTAGTTAATTCCTACATTTCCCAGAAGGCCCACAGCAACCCTCTGAGTCATACAGTATGTTGCCTCAACCTGGTTTAGTGTTTACCAGAAGAACCCATTTGGGTGACCCACGCATGGTATACACAGCTTTGTAAGAGAAAAGCTAATAGCCTAAGAGGAAAAATATGTCCGTACTTACTTAAAGTTTTTTTGTTTATTAAATTCAGTTGCTAACCTTTTTTTGCTCCTACCATGCCACTAAAATGCAGAATTAAATACCAAAGAAGACATCATATGTTTTGTTTGTCTCATTACCGAAAACACTTGCATATTAATAAACTATGAAGGCTGTAGGCTGCATTGATTGTTAATATATTAGATTTTATTTATGGTCAGCCATGGTGGTTGTTTGTTGATACTAGGGGTGGGAATCAGCAGAAGACACGAGACAATATTATGATTATTATTATATATTATGATACGATATTGGGATATGCTTATTAGTATTGTGATACAATATGTTGCAATATTTATTGTGATTTATTACCTTTTTACCAGCTGCAAATTATTTCCCCAAAGGAAAACTTTGCCAAAATCAATTTTACCTTTTCAGTCTTTTCATCTGACTTTATTCATTTTTATTGCAGCAAAATGTGATGTAAAGCAGACAGACTGGCCAACACCATCATAAAACAAACACCTGACAAACTGAACTGTTGGCAGATTTAACATCCTCTGGGCGGCCAAATTAAGCCAGTGAATGAAACACTTCATATTCAGATGTCCCGCTAACTGAATGGCAACACCCATGTTAAAAGCATCGTCTGTTACAAACACAATCCCAAATTCTTGTGCTGCATTTTGCAAAAGGTCTGCAATATTTGCTCTGACGTGACTTTTGTGTACTGCTCTACATTGGAAAACATGAGACAGTGAGATAATGTGCCGTTACAGTCACATACTGTATGAGTGCACTGACCGTGAGGTCCACGTATCACAAGTTAACGCCACGCTTCCTGCTGTATTCAAAGATTCCTTAGCTTGTGCTTCATTTCTCTGTAGAGGTTGGGTACAGATGTGTCAAAGAAAAAGTGTCGGGACAGAGTCTCCTATTGACGGAGTGTTTCTAGCATGTAACAAAAGCCTTTGCTTTCAACAACGCTGTATGGACGCAGATCTTTGCACATGAAGTAAGAGATGGACTGTGTTATTTTCTAAGTGTGCCCAGTGTGTTTTTCAGCGGAGCGGGTTTAGTGTTAGCTTGGCTGTCAGTGGCTAATGCTATCTCTGGATGGTGGAGTATGAGGTGAGCCCTCATGTTCATAGTATTCTCTGAGTATTCTCATATGACACTGCTTTTAAATCAGATGTAATAACCAAGTCCTCCTTTCCATCTGTGCTGTTGTTCTCTGGAAAGTGTCTGAGTGTCGTGAAAAGCACTATATAAATCCAATGTAGTACTATTATTATCAAAAAATCCAAAAGACATCCAGACGTTTCATGCTTCCCATGTCTCCTTCTTTAAATTACAACCAGAAGGCTGATGTGAAATTGTTTCTTTCATTTAGGTGCCCATATTTATGGTGAGAACTGCAATTTGAGCATCATGGTGGAAGGAACATCAACAAGATGAAGCTTTTTTTTTTTTTCTTCAATTGAGCTGACTGACACTGATATTCACATTTTAATGTGATAAAATCTTTAGCCATACTGCCCAGCCATTTCTGATTGACTGCTTGCTTCTCCAACCAGCACAAACAGCTGTCACTGAGAACAACACCAGACTGATTTGAATTGCTAAAAATCTGCAATTTATATGTCTGGACACCTTAAACGAGCCCTAACCCTAAAAAAGTGCAGTGCAGCTAGTTCACAAAACCCACAATCTTTTATTGCCAAACACAAGAAAAAGAGTAGTAAACTGACCTCACTTTGAATTCCTGACTT